AATTGTTCTGTTTATAATAACAGCCATGATAATTCATTTTAAATTATATTTGATTATTTACTTCATCGGATTATTATTTTGTCAGTTGTTTGTAATTTTTGGTCAGTTATCTTTATTACTTTAGTGTCAGCATTACCGTTTTATTAACTGTTTTTGGTTAAGTAGTTTAAGTGAAAATTATTTACTGCTTGTTATTTTATGTTTTAAACATAAAGCATAAAATTCTCAGAGAAATACGCTTGTAAGACCGGCGTTATTATTATCAATATTAACTCCTACAAAAACCAAACATTAGTATTGCCTTCACTTAGATATAATATGTATTAGGCTATGGTAACCTTTGTTATATTTTCTTTTTGTATTACTATTATTTAGGTATGACCATAGAAAGTAAAATTTGGGTTTTAGGAAAAATCACCGTTTGTTTATCATAATTAGGTCCCTATTTAACAAATATTAAAATAGAAATGTTTAATTTTTATTTAATTCAATATTCAAATCTGAATTAAAAGAGTTAATTCATAGAAAAAAATGTCTTGCCTGTTGTGATGTCGCTGATTGGTATTTCAAGCAGGTATTATTGATTATTTGCTAACAACTTCTTGACAATGGTTGATGCAAATTCTTTGATGAGTAATTCATTAATTTATTCATTAATTTGACTTCCCGGGTTTCGATGGTCTCAATTCTGACATCATCATTCTGATGTGACATAGGCATAATTGTCAATGCGTTTATCTTTCTGAATCTGATATCTCATATAGATTTTATACATATTTTATACACTAAATAAACATAATTGAACAGGGAAATCCCTTACACGTATCCAAATATTTTGAATGATATCAACGTACCAAAAGACAATACCTTTGTATTTAAAGAGTTCATAGGTGGGTGGAAGTGTTGAACTCAGTTTCAACGTGGAGTGCATTCGTGCATATTGGTCACCATCAGAGGCATGTCATTACGCTACTGAAAAGACCTTTTCTCTTTGACAAGAATAATAATTAGGCCTACTTTTCATGAAATGACCAATTGTAAATGTCTACATTTATGATTTTCTAACTGGTGAATAAATCGCCTCCGACTTCCATGAAATACAAAGTTTACCAGGGTGTGATTCTCTGTTTCTAAAATGAGGGCGGGCTTTCCTTTGAGATTGTTGTGGTGGGGTTGTACATTTTTTTAACTTTATGTTCGCACGTGTGTTACTGTCATCGGTCAGGTGTGGATATCAAATCTCCAAAAGGAAGCTAAGATATTTTTCAAGGATGGCTCTTAATGAATTAGGTAATGCATTGTAATAGAGGTTTAATTAGTGAAATCGGGCAACTCCAATGTTTACATTTCTTGTTTGTTCAGAGGCACATGCTAGGCCTAGCCTAGCCAGCCTATTAATTATAGACTTGGCCTATACAGTAGGCCTACACTAGACTTGCATTATTGTTGCGAATGAACATACTGTACATCATACATGCAGATAGGCTTAGGCCTACCTACCGGTAATTAATTAGGCTCCGCCATACAGGCACCTTTGGCTTAAGTAGGTGTAGCTTACTTTGTCTTCAAGCGTAGACGAATCTTAACAAATTACAGTCTCTGTCTGTGATACTGTTTGAATTGTCTAATTTAGTATAGGCTTAGGCTAAGGGCCTAAGCTAAGAAACTTGCCAATCAGTGGGAGAACTATACGGAAGCCTGTTAGTGCCATCAGTGAATTAAAATTTAAGAGCCTTCAAGTGGCAGAAATTATCTGGCATGGCGGCTGCCACTAATTATTTGGCGGCCACCACTTAATTATCTGGCGGCCGCCACATAATTTTCTGGCCTGGTAGCCGCAGGGGTGGCGCCTGAATTCCCTGACAAGGGGTGCAGCTCCCCGACAAGGTGGTTCAAGCTCCCTGACAAGGGGTCCACCCCCACCCCAAATCTGGGAAACCTTTGCTAGACGACCTTACTAGAAATTCCCCGACCCGGGAGGGGTTACCAAGTGGGGGTACCAGGGGTCCCCAACAGTAGGTACTTTTCCCCCTGGACCCCGCTAGCGCTGCCCTTGGGTAGCCGCCATAATATAATAAATTATACTTTTTTTCACAGCTGTGCTAAGTGTATCAGACAAGGCAGGTCTTGTGCCGTTTGCAGAGAAGTTGCATGGAATTGGCTTACAACTAGTTGCTTCAGGCGGAACAGCTAGGTCTATCAGAGAAGCTGGAATACCAGTCAGGTAATGCCCTGTGAAGAGTACAAGACCTAGTTGGGCTTCATGTGGTTGTCATACCACAGGCTCAACCTGTATTTAACTGAAATTTTAAATATGGTAATTTATTTTAGCAGAAGATTTTCAATTTTATCTCCAGTGGTAAATGTTTGGTTTCCCAACCTGTATATCAGAGTTTCAATTTGTGTGTTTGACCAAAGCACTTTGCATTGTTTCTCACCACCCAAGAGTATAAAGTGGTTTACTGGGGTTGACTGTGCCGATATGGTATCTAAATTCAAGCATGTGGACCAAATAATTAAATGAAAGTGCTTTATACCAAAAGGAAAGTACAATGATAGTCCTCACTGAAATAAACAAACATTTTGAATAGTAAAAACAATGCTTCCAAATGATCTATTTGTAGAGATGTTGCAGAAATAACGAATGCTCCTGAAATGCTTGGAGGCCGTGTGAAGACTCTTCATCCTGCAATCCATGCTGGTAAGGACTCAAAAGTCATTCTAATTAGTAATATATACATCTTAAAAGTTACTTTCATGGTGTTCCCCTTTGATATGGTGCGAGCATGGAAAAGTAAACCCCGCAATAAGAAGGAAAACAGCACAAAAACACACGTTATTATCATCGTTGAGTTTGCCACGGACAAAAAAACAATTTTTTTTTAGGTTGGCTGAACTTACGAAATGCATCCATAATCATAAATTTTGATGTTTAAAACGGATTAAAAATAGTAATATTGTGTGTTTTTAAAGCAAAGTGTGGTCCTAAATACATACTGTATATTATAATACACATGTATGGTAACTCCATATTCTCCATTTATTGACAGGAATCCTGGCGAGAAGTATTGATAGTGATATCGCTGACATGAAGAAGCAGAACTTCGAGTATATCAGGTAAGAAATGTGGGAGTGGATATTCAATCTTTACCTCAAGTGGGGGGGGGGGGCTTGAACCACTGGGTTATTTAGGAATACATGCATATGTAAATTAGTTTAAAGGAAATACAGTGCACACTCAAATTCACAGCCCCTCTAATTCCGAGACCCCTCTAATTTGGAACCACTTTTTCAAAGTACCAAATAACAATCTTCAATCTAACAAACAAACACAACAAAGCTAACCCTCTAATTAGAGACCGAACCCCAAGACTACTCCAAATTAAAAGGTACGAAAGGTGGTCTCGAATTGGAGTGTGAACAGTATTATAAACAAGCAATTTCAATGGAATATACTTCATAATTTCAAACCTTTGAAGTTAACGGTAGACATGTGGGGAGCTCAAAGGTTATGGGTCAGCTTATAATAACCTAAATGAAATTGTACTTGAGTTCTTAAGCATTTACTCTGCGTACACTTTAGTCAAGTCTTGAAACTTTATGCTACAGTAAAATTATAACCACTTGAGTACTGACCTTTTACTTGCTATTATGTTGATAACATTGATTGTGCTGGTTAGTAGACATAAGTAAGTATTTTTGATTAAAAAAAATAGATTGGTGGCGTGCAACTTGTACCCGTTTGTTAAGACTGTTTCAAAACCTGATGTATTGGTAGGTGACGCTGTAGAACAAATTGATATTGGTAAGCATTTTATTACACCTCTACATACATTTTATTCCTGCTTTATTATTTTTCATTTACAGTATTTGAATTTATTGATTGTGATAAATATTATTTTGTCAGTACAGTTGTGTATTAGGCAATACACAGTCCTGAGGTACTTTGTAGGATAAGAAAGTGTATTGTACTTCATTCTAAGAGCTATATGTGAAGGTGGTGGTCAACATATAATACACACAATTTTAGCCCACTGTATTTACACATAATGTGTTTCATGGTAATCTGCCATATCTCATCTATTATTTATAAAATTTGATTTTTTATTTAGTGCCAAAAATAGATGAATTGAGTTTCTTATTTTCCCATGAATAAATAAAGTGAAAGGAACACGAATACATAATGAATAACAGTGTCTGTCTGTCTGTATATACACAATGTGCAGGGTGTTGCAAAATATGAACAATATGCAATTAAATTTTGCAAATACATAGGATGCATTATATTTGGAAATAGGCCTACAAATTTATGAATAACATAAGATTTTCGAATACATAGAGATGGTACAATTCTAATTTCAATTCAATTCAGCCTGAAGCAATAATGAATTATTGATGAGTTTTACTTTGTACAGTCACTTGAAATAAATTAGACTTTAAAGTAAATGCTATGTTTGCTTCTGCTAGGCCTTATACGGATTAAACTGTAGTTTTAGTCAATTATGGCAGACAGCCCATATACTGTAGGTAAACCTCCATGGACAGATCTACCAGGTGATAGGCCTACATAATAGAGCGCTAAGGCTCAATGGCGATCCAGGTTTATTTTTTGTTTTTCTTATGAAAGGGTGGAAGGGACCCAACCAGGGTTCAGGAACAAAAGAATCAGCAGTTTGTATTTGGTATTTTCTGAGGGTTTCTGTATTTAGTCTTTAATAGTAATACTTTCCAAGGGCAATAAGTCTTTGTGGTCATTCAGTAACACATTTGACGGTACAGTACTGTAAATTAATATGTGTTGTAGTTCACATTTACAATGAAATTAAGGGGCATTTATTTGAGTATTCGTGCCAATATTTACACACACACACACACTCACACACAAAAAATAAACGCCTCCCTCAAATAAACGCCACCCTCAAAAGAACTCCCCCTATAAAAACCCTTTTCAAGAGTAATTAAAGTACACCCTCTAATTCGAGACCATTTTTTCAGAACCAAAAAAAAAAAAAAATCAATCTTCTAACACAAAGCTAACCAAATTGGAGACCAAACTACAAGACCCCCCAAGTTACAGGTCCCAGTGGTCAGGGATGACGCCAGCATTTACCAGCGCCCCCCTCGGGGAGAAGAACCACAATTCATCTGTGGAGCAGGGGTGGCGCCAGCGGGGGAAGGGAGGCTTAAGCCTCCCCCATCGGTCTGGTCAAGTCCCCTTATCGGGCAAAGCTTGTCGGACCAAAAAAAAAAAAAATTTGGACAAAAAAAAAAAAAAAAAAAAAATAGGCCTAGGTTTCCCATCCTAGTACTGTACTGCCTACGCCAAGCCAAATCTGTCTCAGCAATCACTTCGCCTGAGTCTGATTAGTCAAGCAGAACATAACAATGGTGAATCGATTCTAGAAGTCTCAAGTTAAAAAAAAAATCTTGTTTTGGGAGAAGGGGACATCGCCCTCCCATACCCAGCCCCAGCTCTGGCCTTTCGGCCCTCAGATAACGCAACACGCTATAGTTACACCCATAAATACTTAGGCCCCCC